ATTTTGAGAGACAAAAATGAGAACTCAATCTTTTCCTTAAGCACTCCTTGTTTTATCCAAGGGAAAAATTTAAAGGAGACATACACCAACATTCTTATAAATATCTCGACGAAGAGGCTCTCTCTTTTGAGTAGCCGAGTTTCTAATTTCCATTTTAATGCAATGGTTACAAAATGTTTAGTGTTTTTTAAGAACTGTCCATATCATTTTTTCAGAGATATAACGGAGAATATTTTCTTGTGCGATAGTGTCGCTGTGGATTGCATAGTTATACTTTTTATATTCTCGCTACGGAGTAGAGAAAAAATTATGTAATGCAGCCCAAAAAACGGCGAATTCGCGTTAATTGAAATGTTCTCTAACTATTGTGCATTACAAATATTGTGAAAAGTTTGTAAATGTTAAGGAAAATGGCTACCGTGGCAATAATCATTTTATTTGTGTGAAATATGTTCGTGTTGTAATGAGATATTGGATACAGAACCATTAATACACATTAGTTTTAAAATTAACAGTAACCTAAATGCGTGTTTTTATTAAGCCATGCCCCCCAGAAACAATTTCATGGATGTTTAGTGCGAGGGAAACAAATATATTTAATGTGGCAGACAAACTGGACAATTTGGTAAGGCATATTACTGTCGTTAGCATGTCACTAACCGAAAGGGAATATTATTAATTAGACGTAAATATTAATAAATAGTTTATTTGTGTGTATTTCCTGTTTCTCAATGAAATTTATTCTTCAAATTGATATTCTTTATTTTATTTACTGCTATCTTCATAGTTTCTAATTTTTTTCATTTAAAAATGTCGCTAATGAAACAAAGATTAATACCGATATCAGGGCGCAGATTAACAACTTTCTCCAGGAGGAGCGTTAAAAGCATGAAGGAAATGAACAATTGGAGGTGATACGTCGAAAACAGCAGCAGAGACCTCTGCGATTGAGGAACAAACCAAATTGACGATTGAAATGAAGATCAAAGCTTACGAATCACAAGCTAAATGAATCTTAAGAACACTCTGGAGAAGGTGTTGTTTTTTTTCCTTTTTTTAAAATTTGGACCCCTTGGTCTGAATATTTTGAGTATTAGACTAAAGAAATCATAAACCAGGAATCCAGAAATAGATTAGTTGTGACCCTGGCTGGGACCAAATTATACTTTTCTGGCAGAGCAAGTCTCTCGGACGGCAAACCCCAATTTTAAATTTTGGTTTCTGATTTTGTTCCTTCAGCCCTTTCCCCCGAATATTCGCACTTTGGTGGAAATGGAAATCATTCTATCAACCCTACACGGAAAGACACTCCCAAAACTTCGTGCACAGAAGGGCATTGCCCTCTCTAATTGCATCCATCGCTAATCCGTGCCACAACAGAAGTCCACCAACTTCACTTTCACCTCTCTATCTTCCTCATTATTTCTTTCTCGCTGTTCTCGGCACGGTACATCCATGAACGACTAATCATGAGATTTAATCTTCATTGCTCTTTATCGCCTTCTTCTAGAATGTTCAGTTACTATCTATTTCTATGCGTTTCCGCAATACAAACGCACGTATATATGATAACGGGGTAGATTTGAACGAACTCGAGACCAGCGAGTTTAAAACGGATATTTTTATGAAAGAGATTTTTTACATAAAACCTCAACATATTCAAAACATCCCTCCAAATAGCTCTTTATTTGTTTGAACTTTGTTTCCAGGTAGCTTAAAATTTACCTAAAAACGGCGCAGGTCCCATTTTCGTTTAAAAATCTGATTTTTCGAATATTGCAAATTTCAGTTTTGTTCATCTTCCTATAAGTACAATATTGAATGCAATAATTTTTCCGTAATGAAATTTATTTTATCAACGATAGATCTTGATTTTTTTCGAAAATGCAGGGTATTTAAATGTTTTCAATAATATTAATAGTTTTGGGGTAAATCTGCGTGAAATGCAAGCATTTTTTAAATAATTCATTTCTCAAATTATTTTCGCAGCTCCAATATTTTTCTGTAAATTTTTTCCTCGTATGTATCAAATGGCGATAAAAACTGAAATTACTGAAATCTGAAGTGCCATAATTTTCGTCTCTAACGAAACATAACAATACAGCACATTTCATAATAGAGCAAAAATCAGACTGTCGCGTGTTTATTCTACAGATACATTTTTGGGAGTGCTTTCAAATTCTTCGGTGTTCCCATGATTTTTTCGTGTTTACATTTTTCAATTTTCCCTCAATATTTTTCCCACTTAAAGTTTCTTTTTTCTCTAGACCATTGAGGGGGACGCATGGCCACCATGCTTCGGCACTGCCGCCAATTAGACACTGACGCATAGAGTAAGTCAGAATTGATTTCCTTTTCTCTCCCTATTAATTTCGAGTAATCTGATTTTCATCGGTTAGTGAGTAAACCGATTAATATATTTGGTTTTATTGTTTGGCTGACAAAATAACAATCCACCCAACCAGCTGCACTCCAACAACAACTAGCAAAATAGCACAGCTAAATCAGACCCAAAATGGCGATCGAAGTGAAAAGCTCCCGGAGTTTTGAGACTTGGCATGATTGTTTGTTGGTACCTACGGCATAACATACTAAAACTCCTGAAGTGTGGAGCAGCAGCTAACGAAATGAGTGCTGGCCCGCCCGCAATACGGATACTTTTATCCGAGCCGCCTTTATAAACGTGTGTAGCAAACACAAGTAATATTAGTACCTTAAATAATAAAAATATCATTTAGCAAATTCATCAGTCTGTGATTACTACATAAGAAATCACTGTTAATAACATATTACATTGATTTAGAAACAGGGTTACATTAGCTACCAAAGCGGGAAACAAATATTCTTCTGGAAGATGCAGTTTATAATCTTTTAATGTGTCAACTATCGTAAAGTGTCGGAGAAAGTGTCAGGTAATTACGTATTTAATTAATTCATGTAATTAATAATATCAAATAATTGATAATTCAAGTAATTAAGTATTTCTAAATATCGCAAAACCTTCATCCTAAAAATAGGTCCTCTTTTACCTCTACTTCAGTCTAAAAATAGGCCCTCGCATTGCGGGCCCGAACGTTGCACCACTGGCATGTGTATGGAGGGGAAGCCGGGGGTGGGGCGGCCGCTTGAAGGTACTTTTTCGCCATTTTTTGCGTGTAACTATCAATACCACAGAAAATGATGTTCTATACAAAATTAAAGTACATAAAAGTCCTCCTACAAAAAAATTCCTAGCAAATTTTGTTGTAAAATTAACCATTTTAGTGTTATAGGCTTGAAAAGTTCTTGTTTTTGTTTATGACAAGTTCCTAGTTATATCTCTTAGAAAAATGATATTATGGTAAGTTCATGGCACAAAAGTAATTTTATTTGTTCAACCTTTATCAACAATTTGTAATTCCATATTTTGCGCCAAAAAACAAGAACATTATACATTTTCAAATCTTATTTTGTATATAAACTTGTGAGTATTCGTGGTCACTGGGGTCCGAGATTACGAACTGATAATCCATTGTTTATTTGATAAGGATCGAGTACAAATATTTGGTAAAGAATTGTATACATTGTCAATACACAAACTACATAAAACAATACAAATATAATAATCACGTTTTCTGTCAACGTTGAGGGACAACTAAAACTGAGAGTGTCAATGACAAACGACACGAACGTTATGTTGACAAGCGGATCCAATAATTAGTGAATTGGGAAAGCCTCAACATTCCTAAAACCACTAACGGCTTAAACAGTTTTGCGATGAGTTATGTTGTTTTCCTAAAGACTGACTCGGTTACACGGTCTCGGAAAGTACAAAACGAAAATAATCAAAAATTTTAACGAATTTGTCTTCTCTGTTTTGATACGCATGGGCAGAAGATCGACAAGGCCGTGTGCTATGGCGTGCACAAACTCCCTAATATCTTACACCGTGCCATGTTCTTATGGAGTGATCCGAGTCCTTCTCGTTAGGTACGATAAGCCAGAAGAGCACAAAAATATTTTAGGTGGTATTTTGAAATATAAAAGTCACCATTAAAATAAATTACATAAAACAATACTAATAGAATTATCATTGGTGACTAAAACATTTTGCACAATAAATTGATGAATTTACATGAATCAGGTATACTAAAATTTGGGTTTTACAAATTATAATTTTTTATTTCAGTCAATCTTTGCTTTTAGTAGGTTTTCGTCGAATACTTTTTTCGAAGTTTATTACTCATTCTATTTGATCGCAGGTTGCAATGCTGCAGATCCACTAATATTTGTAAATTATTCCTACTTTCAATCAATCCTGATGTTTGCGAGTTCATTAATTGTGTCTTTCGTCTCTCCTTTCACCCCCTGCTAAAGATGAACAGTCAGATTTTAAAACATTAAACAGACATCAAAATACAGTGAAAACTTATTTATGATCGCTCTCATTTTGATTTGAAGAAGCGCCCTCGCGCCGTCATTCTACAGAGGGCGCTGATTGAAGTGACCGACAATTTTTCGACTCTACGAGTATCGTTCAGTAATTTCATGTTATACCGTTTCGCTCATGTCACTTCGGTTCGTTCGTTAGGGAATGTTGGTTTTTGTTGGCCGGTTGTGTGTAGGTGCTTTGCGGTCTGGTATGGGTGATCTTTAATTTAGCATGAATTTGAGTTTATTGATAGTTGAGTGTTTAGTTAAAAACTATTATGCAAATGGGTGATATCTAAAACAATACATCATGATTACGTTTTGAGAGGAAAAAATACCAAATTTTAAGATAATGTTTTTCAGATGGGTGGCTATTTATTTTTTACTGGATACCTGTGTGCTATGCATAAAATATCAGAGACAATAAATATATTCCGGTGGTAGTGTTAGGTTACTTTAATTAAGATTCAATTGAGGTTACTTACTAGGTGACTGAGAGAAGTTTTGTTGATTCAGAAAATCAGTGTAGATATTGACAGATATAATTAAATTAATATGATGTATTACCATTATTTTAGTTTTTACTTTAGTTGCAGTACAAACCAGATCATTCTGTACCTTCACAATGTGTGCTGAAAAATTGAATGATGTGCCTGAAGTGGAAATTGAAGACAGTGGTACATTCAAGTATGTTCTCATCAAGGTATATCCTGGTGAACCATCAGGGGATCATGAACCTTCAAAGTTAATTGTCAGAGGTGGTCAAAAATTTGGACCGTACCATGGAGATATTTATGATGCAACTCTTGCAAATTTGCAAAAGCTTGGACTTGATTCAGAATGTTTGGGTGGTGGCCGTATTCGCCATGAACCAGAAAAAAAAGAATTGAATGTGTATGGATATTCTCAAGGATTTGGAAAAGCTGATCATCAATTAACTGTATCTCTACTGAAAAAGAAATATTTTAACTATGCAATTAATTGGAGCGATGAAGGTTATTAAGTGTTTTTTGCTATTGTGATTCATTGTATGATTAATTGAATTGCGTAAGGGAAAAAACTTCTTTGAAATATCAAACATTATTTATTATGTAATTTTGTTTGTTTCAACAGATGAATTATGATTTATCTAAACATTCTTCATGAAATGCCAAAATTGGAATGTTTTATTGCTCAAATTATGTTCTGATAATTTGCTACAATTCATCTTTTTGTTGTGTATTTAAAATGTAAACGAATATAACTTCATTTTCCTCTTAATTATTGTACTTGCAAATAAATGACTGTTGAACTTTTTGTCTTATTTCCTGTATTGGTAAAAAGAGATTCTCTAACAAATTACTAATGTGTATTTCTCCAGAATAGCAGATTAAGTTTTCTGCAAAGCTTGTTTCTGATCCCTAAAGCTTGAGATTGTATTGTATGTATACATGTTCATTAATACTCCCAAATAAATTGACCATCTTGAAATGTCAAATTGATTTTCAATTTCCAATTAGGTTTCTTTGACATAATATCAATTTTATTTGTTTTATTCAGACACTTCACATACTTATTGCTTGTGATAAGAAGAGCAGTTAGAAAATGTATTGTATCTATCACTGATCACTTAGAATTGGGCTGTTATTACACAAAAGAAAATCAAATTGAAATGTAAGAGATCCCAATTACACCAAGGAAAAAAAAACAACCAGAAAGTGAAAATATGTTCTATGATAATTTCTTGAAATTATGTTAATTAAATTTCAATTTGCTGATTTTCTGAACCAGCTTTAATATGATCATATCTCTTTTACTATTACATAATATAGCTTAATGACAAGGAATTAGGAGAGTGGTGCAAAAGTGATATTTAAGGATTTCATTATAATGCTCCAATCACACTTGTTTCATAATAACCATTATTGTGAGTACAAAGTTAATGAAATTATAAGTTTCAAGATTTTTGAGAAACCATCAGTGTGTTTCTCATTAGTCCAAGTGAATGATTGCTTTTGAGCTCAGTAAAAGAAAAATATAAAGCATGTGGGACTTGACATTGGAATGGAAGACTTATCAGTGTCATACCTCACTCAATATAGGAGTAGAAAAGGTAACAATAGAATATGGAACATTAAAAATGAACAATGGATATTAAAAACTGTTAGTTTAATAACATTCTACCAATCAATTTATTTACATATAATAAAAATTAAATTCTTACTTTTTCAATAGCACCAAATTACACAGATATAATGAGAGTTCGTTAATTAGTTATTTGACAAAACAACTTTTTCCTCAATAAAATCATTGAGTAAGCAATCAAACAAATATCTTTCAAACATTCTCTTGGCAGCAGCCTTACGAGCATCTTGATGAATGGGGAATATTAGTTTCTTTCTGAAACAACTTGAAAATTGGGGAGTCATTGCTTTTAATTCTCCATCAATTGGTGCACGTTTATTGCAAACCTGAGCAGTCACATTCACAAAAATGGTAAAAATATCAAGGCCATAACTTTTCTTGTGTAACATTTCATCCCACAATGCTCGTACAAACCATGATCCTGAAAGTCAAATTGTTTCAATTATGGGATAAAGGTTATGAGTTAATGAAAAGTTAATAAAGTGACAGAAATAGCTTGAATTTAATATTATATTCATCTAAAAGGTTTCTCAAAACTACACATACCAGTAATTCGATCCCTGAATGCGGCATAACCTGGTACAGTCGACCAGAACGTGAGTGTATCACTCACTTCAGGTGATGATTTGGAAGGAGAAGCTCCGTCTTCCCCAATATCTGAAATATATGCTGCAAAGGTTTTGTTTTTTTTATTACCAAAAATGTATTATCTTCATTTGATGGAACAATTTTAATGTTATTAATTATAAAAAGTATGCTTAACATCTATAAATATCTATTTTATAAGTAATTAAACCATTATGTTAACAATATATAATTTTTAAAATTTAAATAACAAGAAGAATTTACACACAACAAACAATAAACTTTTTTCCTTACTACTTACCATTTTGTTTCACCAAACCTTGGCATGACTGTACAATTATTATTTTGGGTTTGTCAAGTAACTTGGGGCAATATTTTCCATGTAAAAACTTCTCAATATCCTGCATTTCAACAGCGATACTGTTGACACCATAAACAGCATCTTCAAAGCAAATAATTTACATACATTAATAATAAACAAACAGAATTTTCTTTCTTTTATTTTTATGGAGTGTAAAACATTTTTTTCAATTTCCTTGCTTATTGAAAACTACAGAGAAATAGATTTTTTCCTTATTTGAAATTTGTTATTCACGCTGAAGAAATGTCAAGTAAACTTTTTGAAATGAATTTTCCGTGCAATTTTGACTCCAATATGGGCAAAAGTTTGCAAACTTGACATCAACTTAGACCAACAATGTCGAGAAATCTAAGAAATTAGAGATAAATGCAAAATTGTTGGTTTTCTTCCCACTAATTTGTTTAATAAAAGAATAGTATATAACACATAGTTTATAGTGCAATAAATTTTGTTCCTTGTTTATTTAAATTCAAAAACCAATTATAAAATGATTAAAATGTAATCTCATTTTCAGCAATGAAAATATTTTTCTACCAAAAAAAAAATACTGTATCGAAAACGTTAATAGAAATATGTTATCAAAAATATAATTAAAACAGGGTACTTTGTGAGAACTTATTTTTGCTCTTATTGTTTAATATTTAATAGATGATATTTTAACCGTTTTACAGTAATAATCATTATACTTACGATTTTAAATGAAATTAAAATTTTGTACTCGTAAATTTTCTTATATATATATTCTTTAAACAAGCTACAATTTGATGTCACATTTTGAATAGGTCAATAAAATTTAATACTAGCTGCATGTGCCATCGGTGATGCCTTAATCTGTTTCAAAAATATTTATGTGTTAAAAGTTTATACTACTCAAGTTCTAAATAAAATGTAACTAAACATACAGTACCCTGGTTCAATCATCCTTGCGTGTAGTATTGAAAATATTATCTATTAAGAATTAAATTTAAATATAAAAAAATATGTGGTCGCAACTCTTCTTGTTGGATGTTCTTTTGGGCCAAGGCCACTACCCACTTAATATTATGATGTTGGACAACCTAATCCAAATATTCCCATAAGAGTTATTCTGATTCTGTTCATACTTCCAAGGTATTATCAGGCAACTTATTAAAGAAAATTTGTACATTTGCAAAGCTCCTATTCTAGAACAAGCCTTTCCATTCTTACAGATTTATTTTAGAACACAATTTTGTCATTGAAATATCCCACAAAAGGGGGTTATCCAATAAGCACTATTGTATATGCTGCACATAAAAAAATTATCATATGAAACAATAGTTATCCTACTGGTGGCAACACATGATGAACCTTTCCCTTCTGAGTGATGCAAGCCCAGCTCTGCTTGCTGTAAATTGCGGTGTCTCTGCGGTATGTTTAGCGACCTGTCATTGCATAGGTGTCTTGGCTGTGGGGCATGTAGTTCGCACTATCAAACACAAAACATGTTTTTGGAAAAATTTCTTTGAATTTTTTGAATGGATTTGAATACAAATCATCAGTTCCCCATGAGTAAACTGAGACACTCGAGTACACTTTCTTGTCTGGATTGGTGGAGAGGAAGTGGTCTAACTGAAAGTGACGAACAAAAACAGGTTACTCGAATACTATATAAGAAAACTGTACTACTCTACGTATGATGTATTTTTTGATGTTGAATAGAGATCTTATGGTTTCAATGCCTTTCCCTTAAGATAGCAGATGGCGGTTGTCTTTTCGAAGGCTAGGATATGACCTCATAATTATTGAAAAATACAAATTTAAATATAGCTAAAAACACTGGAAAATGATAAATAAGATATAAATTATGCTTTACATAATAATCAATAGTGTATATTACACTGTTTCTTAATTTAAAGAGGTGTTAAATATAATAAAAAATTAATGCAAAATTTTGCTTTTGATCAATGTTGCTGTTCATCTGCTCAGTATTTCTTGACTTGAGCATTTCTATATCATTTCATTTATAGTTTTTCTTAAGAGATTCTCTTTCTACAATTGAGAAAAGAGATCCATATATCAAAGAACAGGATGTATTTGTTGCCAACATAACTGGATTTTTCCTGGTATCGATTTGTAGGTAGCATCTCTTCACCTTGCAATTGGTAATGCAACCTCTTTAAATTAAGGAAGAGTGTAATACACACAATTTATTATTGTGTACAGCATAATTTATATCTTGCAACAGCTAAATTTTGAAAAATAATATCATGCTACGACACAACTCTCTCTAGCATTTCTGCCAAAACTCTCTCAGACATTCGTGTTCATGCCGTCGTTCAGAAAACATTTTTTGTCTTTAATAAAGACACTAACTAAACGTTAAAAGGTTTAAGAGATTTGAACAACAAAAGCCTTTCTCTCCCATGCAGGAATTTTAATTTCTTTTAAAACCTGAAATATAACAAATATTACTGAAAAAAGAGTTATAATACCATGTACTTTTCAAAACTAACCAATCAAGCAAAAACAAGCCTTCACGAAGTTTCATGTATTTTTTCTCTCTCTCTGTAATTACCAGATTTTCTTGGAATTGTTGAGCTAACTTGATATCAAGTTAGTGAAATATCACATTTCCAGAGTTAGGTTAAGAGCAAAAAATATTATTTTTGCAACAACAACAAAAAAACACAACAATATGTAATTATTTTTCATTTGTCTCTGTATCTTGTTGACTTTTTTGGACCTGTTGGGTAATTTGGTGTTAATTTCTAGTATTCATTTTAGAGACATATTTTCTTTTTGCATAACAAATTATCAACACCCAACACCAATCTGCCTTGCACAGCGCTATTCAGAAAGTTGCTGTAACTTCCACCAAACAAAAAGTGAAAATTTTTAAGATTATTTTCAGCAAATTTCCTGTGCCACCTTTAGGGAATTCCGTACCGTTTTGAACAAAACCAGTCAGTTTGTGTAGAATCCACAATCTTTCTTCCTTATTTATTCTTCAATAAAAATCCTTCTCCTTTCAAGAATAGTACTCACAAAATTAAAAATGATTTCAGACAGTAAATTTAATTGACATTTCAGACACTTCCAGAACATTGCCTACCTCAATTGGACTTTTCCCATACCATAATATATATACGTGATCAAATTATGTGCTAGATAGGTGTGTTTCTTTATTATTATTAGAAAGTGGGCAGAGCCCTAGTGCTAATTAAACAGAACATTCACTGTTTAATTCAAGGATGTCATATAACATAGGGAGTAAGAATTTCATTGATTTCCAGATGCTTATTCCTATTAAATACCAAACAGAAGTAATTTAATTGGAACAAACCTTCTAAATATCCTTGACAATTTAAGCATTTTACTTAGGGACACCTGAATCCGTGGTAGTTGCTTCCCCTAAAATAATCTGCACACATATTCTTGAGTTCTCATTTCGGTAGATATGAGAGGAGTTCGGGTTTCGGTATTTTGATGGTAGGACTATTAAATCATGTTTGTCACTCATTGTTCAATGCAAATAGTTTCTATTAGCTGGCAACAAATATTTGCTTTCAGAAGTCAATCAAGTTTATTGCTATTCTTACTTCAACTAATAATGGTAAAGGAATGGGGGTAAGGACTCAAAATCTCATGCACATAACACTAAAAACAATGAGGGGAAAAGAAAAAAAAAAAAAAAAAAAGTAAATGTAAAACTTCCACACTTTGCATTGTTTTATAAAATAGACATGGCACTCCAAACACTTACTTTTTCTTCCGTGAGACAGTATACACAATACAAAACAACTGTGTTCTTGTTTCACAAGGTTTGTAGCTGATTCTTGGATGGCCTGGAGTAGTTCAATATGTGTAAGGTTCTCCCAAATTTTTACAATAAAGCCGAAGCTCATAAATATCTCACACAGTCTATCACGGTCAATATCAGTTCCAATGCGTGGTTCAAGATAATCTTCATGAACCAAATGCTACATTGATGAGAAAAAAACAAAATATCTCAATTTAGGGACAGATAGAAATGAAATAATATGTTATGATCTAAAGTTTACCAGTGAATACAATATTATCCTTAAAATGATTATAATAATAAAAAATCTTGTTTCAAAATATTTTGTAATTATTATATGAAATTAATAATGGGAATACTATGACCCCAATCAACACTTCACAGTATTAATTTGTACATATTTAATTCAATTATTTTACGTGGTGAGACTCAGACTACTTTTCTGCCTAACCAAACAAATTTTGCTATGCTCCTTTCACATTGCGGAGAAAGAAGGTATCATTTGGACATCAAAACTGGCAATTTGAAGTTAGCTCAGAGCATTGTTTTAGGCTTGAGAATCTTTTACGTGCAATAAACCTACAACATTGGACAGACAGCTTTACTTCCCCTTTCAAGAAAGCCCTATGAAATTTTTTTTTTTTTTTTTTGCCCTTAAAAATTCACAACTTTGAACAGGTTTGAACCCTCAAACTGAGGTATGACACTCTGATACGCTAACAGGTACACACCATGAAGCCACACGTATTATATTACTAATGTATTACATAAAAATGCCACAAAGGTATTGTGTTTTTCAGTCCTCAACTTCCTTTCTCCCCATTTTCAAACATGAAATTGCTTCCCACAAAGTACTCCCTATAGTGACATACGGTTTAAATATAATATAAACCTACCTCACAGTCAAACAGTTAAGAAATCTAAAAGCAACTTTAAAAAAAAGAAGAAGAAAAAAAGAGCCAGATTTGCACGGGTTCTACCACCAGATATATCAGACAAAGACATTCCATGAACAAATGACAAATGTATATGCAGTGTGAGCGTTATCATACAATAAAATGTATGAATCGGACCAAATCTAAAACCGTGTATGCCGCCGAAAACTGATTGCAAGATACGTACAAATTTCCATCATTATATTGAGTCACTTTTCTAAAACTGAAATGCTTGGGGACCAATATTCCATAACAATAAATGGCAGTCTCTGTCAATAAATAGAGATGCATTTGCAAACTAGTGGAAATTGGTATAATTTTTGAGTTATTTCACTTATTGAAACATGTCACCTCAAAATCTCAATTTTTCTTTTTCAAGTTGCTATAGTATTCCAAAAAAGCAATAATTTGTACATTATTCTACATACACGACTCATTTCATTTAATGTTTTTAAAGCCTGACACTCACCTTCAGTTTAGGATTTGTCTCCTTGTAAAATGTCTTTTGATTAATGATAACACAAAACCCCACATTTTGAGGGTCAATAGCATAAGTATTATTTACACATTCCACTGAACTCTCTTCCTGGCATTGAGAAACAACACTGTGTGAAGAAATTCCACCCTGACTGAAAGCACTTTTCATACTCAATCGATCACTGAATGATGTAGGTTCCGTAATAACATCTACAGGTTTATAATATCTTCTGGCAATGGACTCCAAATAATCAACAAATCTGTACTCTTCCATTACTTTGAGATGCTTGGTCAAGTTTTTAATGTTTACATCACAAGAGCCCACAACACCAATATTAAGGTACCTTTGTGACATCCAATGCAAAATATTCATTTCCATCAACTCTTCATCATATCGATCTGGCATTCGGCCAATAATTTCCATATCTCTATCAACTAACATCTGAAGCCGTTTTAACTGTTCATATGTCAAGGACTCGCAAACAATATAAAGAGCTTTACGCAGAAGGTCAACATACAAAGAAGCTTCAGGATTTTTTGGAAGGAACCGCACATTCATTTCTTCAACACTGACACCTAATTTTTTTACCCACGATATGTTTTTAATAATTGAAAGAGCTTCCAAAAATTTTCCTTGCCAATTATCAGACGTCTCATGCAAAGCCCAATCTGAGAGCAAACGACAATGAGTGAAACTTCCAGTATTGTGTGATCTGAGGGCAGTTTTCAACCGCTGCAATGCAAGATCATCACTATCATATAAAAGAAATACTAATGAAACTTTTTCATAGAACTGCAAATCATCTTCTATTTCTTCAACGATTCTAGTATTTAAACAAAACACACCAGACTGTGCAGAAGCTGCTTCATTCTCATGCAAACGAGAAATATTGGAGCGTATTCCATATGCATCTGATGTTAAATTTTTTTCAGATTTTCTTATCACACTTGAAATATTTGTGTGGTCTTCCTTTCTATGAGAACATTTTCTTTGTTCATTTTTACGAAGTTTATGACAATTAATTTTATTAGTTTCTCTTTCAACTTTATCATCATCATTTTCACTGGAGTCCTCACTTAAGCTATCAGGTGCATATGATGAAAAGTTCATTTCTGATGTCATCGAAAGAACACTTGAAACCAATGAATTGATGTCACTTTCATCAGCAGCTGTTATTAACCCATCCACTGATATTCGTGGAATAAAATTAGCCATCATGTACTGATTAAATGAAAACAACAGATATCAATTTGTGAAGTTACTTCATAGTCTCTACAAGGAGGTTGGGTGCATTTATTCTACTATGTACTTGCACTGAATATTCAGCATGACACTTCTCCAGGTAAATTATTTCAGTGTAAGTTAATCATTAGTACCTTAATTACAAAATTGACACATCATCCAGTTTTAAACTTGTGAAATATGAAAAAAAATACTGTTTTCTAACAATTCAATAACCAGTTTATGGTTTCAATAATTGTGTTTTGCATCTTTATAGTAGTACATTATTACACCAATTGTGAAAGAACGTATACTGACAAGATTTATCTCCATAATTAAATGTTAATAGACGTCTACCATCCGATCGCTTTCTTCACTGATTTTACAAGTAATTAATCTGTACACGACTTCACAAAGAATAATAATAATGAATACTGAAAAATAAACTCAAAGTTTGAGTTTCATACATGCAGGAAACGCGTCAATTCCTGTGGGAAATACCAATACGCCACAAAACACAAACTCACAAATGACCATGACCACACTACTTCGCAGTACGTCACGTCAGCTAAGCTAGTTCAACAGACTCAAACTGTGAATTCCCTTCAGGCTTGCAACATCAAGACGCTGAAATCCTTGCGTGGTGGAGATTGTTTTGTTTGCTTTTCGTGCTTTTATCCTAATAATTTCAACGTATGATAATATTTTACTATATGTGTATTTTTTAAAGTGATGGAAATTTAGACAAACTGATATCAGAAAGATATGATAAGGCTAACCATTGCTTTCTAAAAGTAGGGTAAAGGTTTGGAAGCATGAAAAGATGGTCAAGGAATCAGTGAGTGCACCTAGAGTTTCTTTGCACGATTCTGTTGGGCATCCCCGTGATGAGTTCGGGATGTCCCAAAGAAAACCTCTTTCTGAATTCAGTGAAATCTGATGAAACGGACACGTCAATTCACGCCCATGTTTCGTGAAACTAAGTGATTTGTTCCTTAGAACACGTCTAAATATGCCCTCTTTTCAGCGGTGCCAGGCGCATTTCGTAGGCTGACCTATATTAAAGCAGTCCCCTCAGCGCCCCGGGGATATGTATAACATTAAGAAGCGAAAAAGTGGTGGAGATTGCTGTTGATTTATATCTTCCTTCGATGGAACATATTGTGAAATTATTTCGAATTTCGATGTATACAGGTAGCTTATCTTCCGGGGGGGGGGTAATTTATGCCTCAGAATCTCAAATCAGAAGAAATCTCAAAACAATAACACTTACTGACAGGCTATAACCCGCGTTCATATCACGTTCATAATTTTAGCCAAAGCCGAACCTTATCGCCTTCACGTGTTCGTGTGTTAGATGTGCGGCAACGCTGAATCCCGGCTGTAAGAAAGTAAACAAATTCTCGCAAGCTGATTTACTTTAGAGTAGGTCACATGTCGTACCACAGCACGTGATGACAGAACTGTCAGTATCGCTTATACGCTGTCGGTACTGTAGGGCGATTCCAGAAATTATTTGGATGGGGAGGGAGAGGGGAGAGGAGAAGGACTGTTTGTTTACCCGTATATCTCTTCAAGATGAAATGACCCAACGTAAGAACGAGAATTTCTTCTTGAAATGCCGTCCTCTCGAGATTAATAGACTAGTTAGGGCCTCGGCCTACTACTTCATCATTATATAATGCATTCAATATGTGGTAATTTTTGTGAACAGATTGAATAAAATCCCAAAAAATGTTGAATCAGATGTGGGAAGGAATATTCCCTTTATACATACAAATCAAGAATTATATTACAAGAATTTGTACAAAGGCTTCCATGCTCTCTTCCTCCATACCTGATCAACATCCTGTGATTATAATTTAGTATTCAAACAAGTGGTCATTTCATTTAGCAAGAAACAAATGGTGTTGTTGACTATGATATTTTATAGACTTATAGTTGCATTATCAAGACACTGAAATCAAGTCTTCTTTCTCACAACCATCTTCAAATATTTTCAGTTAAATTAAAAGGTATTAAATGTTACCTTTGAAGTAAATATTTTGGAGGATCCAGAGTGGGCATGGCTATTCCCCTAAATCTTGAAATCCTTCAATCTTATTTTGCAAGAAAGAAAATAAATTAAATGTACAGATAGATCAGTATGAGGTGTTTGCACTGAGAGTATTTGAGGACATGAAGCCATTAAAACAAGTGCTGATATTACTCCACCAGCAAATCCTGATTAACAATGATGATGATCCATTCCATCCCAATTGAATGCCTTGATCTTCCCCTTGTTTACTACTTTTGAGAAGAATTTTTTATTATTTGCCGAGATACTTGAAGTTCAAGTTAGCCAAGAGTACTTACTTACTGTAAGCTATCTCTGGATGAATCTTTTTCTTTGATATTTCTTTCTAAGAATAGTTTGTCAAATTAAACTTTTTGGTTACACTTATGGAGATATTAATGAATAACATTGACATTTTATAAATTGGGATTACACTGTTGGATTATATTTCTTTCTTGAAATCATTTATTACAATAGGTATTGAGAATTATGCTTTGGACAAAGGTAAAGGTATGTTTGTAAATAAGTACTGAGAATTGTACAAAAAGGAGCAGATTTTCTTGTGGTAAGTCCAGCAGAAATTCTTTCTGGTAAATCTGTTTATTACTGTTGCTATGATATGTTTGATCAATAGTGTTATCCACAAAATGTCTGAAAATACAAGTATTATAGAAGAAAAGATAGTGGAAGTAAAGCCACCAAAAGTAAAACCACCATTTCAACTGTGCTTTTCTTTCAGACAAGAACTAGGAAGATCCTATATTTCTCCTCATGAACCAATGTTAAAAGGAAAGTATTTCTTAACAGTGAGAGAAGCTTTGCATGTTAGATTTAAAATGTTAGGGCAATATTCTGTATTTACTCAAATAAAAAATTAATATTGTTAGAAAATTGAAAAGATAACTTTTGAATTCTTGTAGTATGTTACCATGTCTATAGGAATTACTCTGATGAAGTTCGTTGTTGTGGCTGTCATCAGAGAATTGAAGATATTTTGTTATTTTATGTCCAAATTTAACCCTTAAAATGTTATTTATAACACTGCTTTTATGTTCCATTGAGCAGAATTGAGAATTCTGTCGTATAAATCTTTGTCAATTCACATTGAAGTTCTGAATAAAAACTTTTCACATAGTTCTTATTCTCTCCGTATTCTATTGAAGACGCTATTTTCTTTATAGTTCCAAGTATAACATCTAAGTTCTACTCAGAGTATGAAGGTACAAGATTGCGAAACATCAAAAGTAAATATGTGGATGAAATAATGAACTCTTATCGTAAAAGACCACAAGATCATTACATTGTTCCATTACTTGAAAGCCAGAAGTAAGTAAGGAATACTGGTATTAAATTTTTATAATAAAATATATCCAAATGATTTTAATTGATGATCATTTCCTACATACTCTCTCATTATTAGCTGTTGAACTAATCAATCATTCTATTAACTATCCAGAGACTTACTATTCACTTTATTACTTCTTTTTTCCTTTCTTTTCTATCAACATTTCCTTTGGTTTATCTCAGTCACACAAATACCAAAAAATGTTACATAAGGAACACTGGGACTGAAATTTTGACCAAAATCTGAAAAAATATTGATTTTTTTGTGTGTAATAACATTCTATGAAGTATTTGGAATAAAATAAATTGACTTCCGACCAGCTTTTGCTATTTTTCAAGGGACAGGAGCCACTTCAATATCCCTGCGTGCTTGTATATATTGATCCACAATGCCCGTTTTAATCTTTTGGGTCTCAAACAAGGAAGAACAACTCTATTTTTATGCAACTTTCTCTCGTAGGGGTGTATTGTTGCACTCTCCGTGAGCTGTTGGGTAAACTACAATTATAACCATTAGATAACACATAGCCACTAAAGCAAATTAATTTTTTGTATATATCTTTTGATTACATTCTTTCTTGGATATAAATCTATGATAAATAAAGCAACAAACATTGTGTATTGTATTTTTTTATTAATAAATATTTAAAATTAATATTTAAAACTTATTAGTATCTCGTGTGACTATGTGTGCAAGGAATGTGGATAGTTTTGTTTACAATGATATACATTTGCATATTTGGCTGATAAAAACTTTCTGTGATATTTGTTGTTTTGTTTCTTGTTTTGTCTGTTGTTTTACGTGAAGGTGTAGTGAAAAATGGATGTAAGTGCCAAGTGACACAGACCTAATAGGTACAATGATGAGAAAGAAAGTTATGGCAAGAGAAAAAACTCTACTGAAGTGAAATGCAGAATATTTCTAAAATCTGAATAAAACTCATTTTACTCAAAACTACATTCTCTTACATTTCAAAACTCCTATGCCTACCAAAATATTATTCAATTCTTTCAAATTTTGGCTGAAATATTGTATTCATAGTAATGAATAAATGTGTGCATTGTTTTGTATCATTAAAAATGTCAAAAATATAAACATCTACATATAAAAAACATACTAAAAAAAGGGGGGGGAAATAAAATATTGAAAATAATTCTAAATGATTTTTAAAAGTTCATATTTTAAAATCCAAGCATATATTTACTTAATATTAATTAATAAGTTTAAAAAAAAATCAATCAAAATTTTTAAAAAAATTCAATGCGCATTGGACATTTTTCATCCAATCATGTTTTGCAATAAATATAATAATAAAAACATATATCTTCAAAACTATTAAACAAAAATTGATAAAATTTAAACCAAGTAAATACATTACTATAGAAAACAAACCTGCAAACTTTCAAGATTAGATAAAAAATAAAACAGTTTTAAATTTCAGCCCTAGTGTCATGTCTTCAAAATCACTCTTTCTTGACTTTTCATTTTCATGTTCCTCCACTTTCTTTTTAATCTTTTTTCAAATCCCAACCAGTTTCATCTAAATCTTGTTTTTATCCTATATGTATTTTTTGTGAGAAGATTCTTCCTTCTAATTTCATGCTTCTTATGCATTTACAGATGTGGTTGGCATGCTTTTCCCTTGATGGAAATAGATCGTTATGACAAAAGATTGTTCTTTGGTAAAAGAACATCAGATATGGTGAAAATGCAGTTTCTATCATAAATTCAGAACATAATATGAATTTCCATTATGCAAGAAGTACTAAAATATTCAATGCCTAGTCACTGAACAACCTCAAGAGAAAATAAAGCACATCTTCCTAGAAATGACAAGGGGGACAAGGGAATTATTTGTCAGAATAGTCTTGTAACTTTAGCAGTTAAGGCTTTAGAAATAAAGGAATTGTTCTTATTTTATTTCTTCAACAACTGTTGATATTTTCTACATTAGGGAAGAGTTAATTGGATTGAATATATACGTAATTTAGACAATTGAATATTCCTAGAAAGCAATACCCACATTTACTTGATCAACCGTAAAATATATATAGTTATTACAAATGTGAGTATCAATTTATCTTACAATTTTTTAAATTTATTTATTTATACCCTTCAGGGGCAGAATCATAAATTATTTCGTGTGTGTGTGTGTGTGTGTGTGTGTGTGGGTATATTCAGAATGAGAATATTGTTTTGGATTCGATGAGATTTTATTTTATCATCATTCTGAATAAATTGCGTAAAATTAACAAAAAATGTTGGGATGGGGCAGGATCCTGTTTCCCCTGCCCCAAATCTATCACTGATTCTCTCCAAAGTAATCACGACTCACAAAATAAATTGTGTTTTTGCATGAATAAAAATGCATCTTTTTAAAGAACAAATAAAATATTTGAAAGTGTCTCAGAGTTATTTTATTTCATTCATTCATTTTACTATGCATTTTACTGGTAATTAAAAAGAAAAGGATAATTATTCACAAACTAGACTTTAAGGAAACTGCAAAAGCCATCATTTTATAACCATTTAAAAAAAATCTAACTTTGTGTATCTTAGATCTGGTGAAATTTTATGTCCAAATGAATTTTCAACTCCGAATTGGAATTTGCAATATGTATTTTTTCAGAAATTTAAAACTGTAAATGAAATGACTTTTGTTTTGCTTGCAATTATTAAGAATACACACTTTATTTCTTTACAACGAATAAAGACTATTTTCTAAGCTACTTTTGAAAAAGGAAATGAAGATATATGCCTTAACAAAACATGTCTACAAGTTTTTAAATGTGTACAGAAGGATTCTACCTTTTCACAAAAACATTAAAAAATAATAATAAAATGTTTGACACTAAATAAGTAAATAAAAAAGTTATTAAATGGACAATCATGAATCGGCTTGAAATTTGTTCGATGAGATCAATTATTTTTCTGAATTTTCAATTAATTGGATCACAAAGGAAACTTTTATTTCTCAAAATGTAAGAGGGTAAATCATTGGAAGGGCCTTGTTGCTACTTATTGAAAGAAGTATTTGCTATTCCGCAAATTTAAATATGGTTCATACGAAAGCAGAGAACTCTAGCGCCTGATTGAAGAACTAACAAACTGCGATTGTCAGCTTGTTTCGTACGGTTGTATTGGCCAGTGTGCTGTTCAGGTACTGTTTGTTTCCTCCTTTCCTACTACTCCTGCATGGTGACGTCATATCCGAATTGTGTGCCAAAAAAGAGATCTAGTGATTGCTATGTGACGGGTGAAATGTGACAGGTAGCGGGCTAATTTTAAAGGTTTCACGTGTGCTGTGTATTCAGAGTTGTCACACTTCCCAGTGTTCTTTCGAACGCAAAGTGAAGTTTTGATCCTGGTAGATAGTGATGAATAGTGAAGTGAAACGTGAAGTTGTGCTTGAATGTGTCATCCAGCATTAGAGCAGTCTGAATTTTCTGTGAATACGAAAATACAATAAATATTTCCGAGGTGCGTATATTAATGAAATAATTCTAAATGTTGTGTTTGCTTGTAGATTTTAAGAAAACATTTCGCATTCTTTTTACATTATTTTATTGATGCCTGTGACATGGCTGTGCACATCAGTAGATTTTTGGAAAATTATGAGATTACTTGGCGAATACATCTTTACATACCTTTTATGCCCTTAACCGTTTGAGTACTTTTTATAATTCAGTTGAATTCTCTTTTTTAGTATTCTAACCTAAAGATCTCCAAAAATGTGCATAATTGTCAAAACTCATTTTAGAAATTTTATTAGAGAAGTCAAATAGGTTTTATCAATAATATTTTGTCTAGTAAAAATTATACACAACCCATTCGTTTATTTAGATTATGGTAAAATAGGTAGGTTAAATACTCCCATGTTAAATGTTTTGATATTTTGGCAATATAATTCATGCCAATTGCATCATTTTTCTGCATCTACTTGTCACTTTTGTAACAATTTAGAGTACAATATTGACTTTTACAGTATTCTATTTATTATTTGTGTTTTTTAATGAAATTCACACTCATGAGGAAGAAACTTCTATTGTAATAAGTTGTAATGTTTTGTGAAATTTTCACAAGTACATTTGAAATGCTGCCTTTTGCCTAATAGTTGTTGGACTATTATAAATGATTTTGATTTCGTGCGGTTATTTGAGGTAGAAAATAAGAGACTGAAGGAATCATAAATAGAAAAGTAATTTGAATGGTTCATTTGTTCTATAATGTTATATTCAAACCATACTAATATGTTTATTCAAAAACATTTAACTTCCAAGTATTGGTTATTAAACTTTGAGAAATGAATATTAGTAGATCAGTTGTAAATCCTAGATACACAGTTGCCCTTACATAGGAATTACTGTAAGAAAATTCTATTATTTTTATCTGTGGAAGAAAGACAGATGTTGAAAGTGACCAATGGAGAGCGGAAAGTGAGAAAAGTAAGTGATATTGTGAAGTAAAAGATAGTGCTCAGGTATTTTCCTATATTCAGTATTTCATTACATGTGAGAAATCTGGAAAGGTAATTTTGTACATAAAAATCTTAACAAATTTCCATGTGTTAATAAGTGAAATCTGTTGTCATAATGAAGGGTTTTGTTTAAAACATTGTGCAGAATTTATTGTTTGCCATGATATAAGTTTTTTTTAATTAGGCTGCATGAAATATGAAAACAAGAAGTCTCTCATTAAGTTTGGAAAAACAAGTTTTTATTTTCTGCAGTGTATTTGTGTCCTGGATTTAAAACATTTATTTGAATTAAAATTAGAGAATAAACCTAGAAACTCAAATATTATTTTATTCTTTTCTTTTGTTGTCTGAAACAAACTGAACTTTTGTTGTCGGAAAAGTTGAGATGTCTGGAACCAACAAAAATATGCTCCACAAATATTTGCTCATGTAAGCCTTGAGACAAATCTTTTGTGTAAAATTTTTTTTAGGTACTCTTCTTTGAAAGTAACAATGTTCTTTAGACTAAATTATCTTTTTGCTGTTAATTATTAATCAAGAGGTCTCCAAGATGATTTGTGGTAATTGTATTTCTGTGTAACTACATGCTTTGATAGATATACGGCAGTTGTAAGGAAATTGATATCATTATAGTTGAAAAATACAGGATCCCTTGTACCACGTTATGTTTTTAATAAGGGACGAGCTGAGGCCAAAATATTTCCCCATTGTAATCATAGTCCTACTTTCAAAATAACAAGAAATAATGGAAACATCATGTTGTTGTTATTGTTGTTTATACATTTAAACAACTTGACAAGATTTTACTTTACTGATGGGCCAGTTAAAAAAAAAGTCAGAATTTCTTGTAAGAGAAAGTAAAAGTATTTTATATATCAATCTTAACTTGTTCTTTATCACTATCGTTATTGTCTCAGAGGATTAAACCTATGTAAGGTTTACTTCATACTGTAATTGATTTTGCCTTCTTTTTCTGGATAATCAAAATATCTCAGTTTTTGTATATGAACGGGATATTTGGAAGTTATTTAATCATTCTCTGTGTGTTTTAAAAAGATGGCGATTTAATAAAAAAATACAGATTTAAATAAAATCAAGTGTCATTTTGTCTATTTTTCATTACAAATTTTTTGAATATGGTATTTATTGTGACTTGTCAATTTTTTAAGTAATAAAATGTAAATAGCACTTCTGGAAAAATGAAGTAGTTTGAGGCTGTTTGACTTATTCTATAAAACCAAGTTTGCATTATCATTTTAGCATAGAGAAGACCATTCTTTCCCATAAAATTAATCAATGTTGCTTTATGTTGTGATGAGACTCAGGCCTGATCTTCCGCCTGACCGTGAAACATTCACTATGCTCCTTTTGCCATGTAGCAAAGAAAGAAGGTATAACTCACGTGACAAAATAGGTGATTTGGATTTTGCTCAGAAGCTTCTTTTACACTTGTGGATCTGTTACATGCAGTAAATCTAGGATATGGGACAGCTGACTTTTTATCTCAAACAAAGGATGTTTTGTCTTTAAAAATATACAGCTTTGATTGTATCTGTGAACTTGGGTACAGCAGCCCAATATACTAAACATTATACCACAGTGTATGCACAGACATGCCAACCAGGATTGCCAGCAAATCTGTGGACCTCCTGAGAGTTCTGAAAAGTTTCCTGTAGCTCTGTGTAATTAAACGTTTTACTTCTTTAAAATATACTCAATCCCTAATTTCCCCTTTTTTTGAACCTTATGATTGGGGAACTTTTATGACATTTGGCGGAGAAGCTCTCAAGCAGTCTGGTAACTTTGTAAATTGTGTAACATAAAATTGATTGTATTTATTAATATTACAGTTGAAAATTCATTCTTCAATGGGGCGTACATTTACTAGTAAAATACGTTAAGAGTTAAAAAAAAAATCAAGAGAGAATCGGCTGGGCTGCAGAAATGTAGCTTAACCTCTTTCCTCACCCCCTCCCCCTCACCACCCTCTACTTTTAGACTGTGCACTTACGCGTCAACAGAAGCCGTTTATGCCTCCATGGATGGTTGACATTTTTTCTTTAATCACATATAATAATTTTATTTCAAGCATTGCAGAATTATTTAAAGGTTAATTAAGAATAATTTCAGCTTGTTCTGAACACTGTATTCCCAAATTTGTCAGTTCTCTTATTCATAAAGAGTGTGGCAATTGTTTTGTTGTGCTAAAACAATTGTTGTATTTTTTGTTTATTAACATTTATCCAGATAAATTGTTAATATGATTGTGAGTTATGTTGAAAGAGATGAAATTAAATTGTGTGAAAGGTAGTGAGGATATTGTCAACTGTGGAGTGGTCTGAAGGATCAGTATATTTTCATGATACATTTGTGAAATATCTCCAGAAAAAAGTAAAGAGAAAGAAGACATACAGTAGTTATTATTATAACTTGGAAATAGTTAAACAAATGTCAATAGTTGTAATTTGATTTTGTAAATTTTGGTGACTGGATTATTGTTGGAATTATTCTCGAAAGTAAACTAATAAGTAAGACTTGTGTAAGTTCAGTTATAATAAATATAAAATTGGAATTGTTATAATATGAACAAAATCAAATTTAAAATGTGAATATTCCTTCATTTTGCAGTATTGAATCAAGTGGAGTTTGGGATTGTCAGATAGGCAATGTTTTTAGAAGAAGATTGAGGCAGGGGAAAGAATTAAACTGAAATATCTGTTATGAATATCAATATGGCACTAATGAATGTGGAATGTTTCTGAATGTGGGCGTGGTAGAAAGCTTACACCTGCCCCTCTTCTGCCCGAGTAGGTGATCACAGAACAAACAGAATTCATTTTCCCATATTTCCATCATCCAGTATATAAACAGAAATAACCTATAGCAGTTAATTTGAATTAGACGTAATTACAGTATTGAAAAAATGTAAACAAAGCAAGTGATTTGTGAAAACCGTTTTGACACCCAACTTTTCTGAAAACCTGAAAATGAATCATCAACATCAGAATTGGGTGTTAAAAAGTGTTGTTTTTTCTTCTTCCAAAACTCTCCTGTTTTATTTATTTTTTGCGAACTCTAATCCTTTTCTTCTGTTAACTTAATTCACAAATACTTTCTCTTAGCTATCTTTCATGATTGTCACTGTGCTTCCAAAAATTTCGCACGGTACTCTCACATATTAATTTGATTTGTCCGAGCCTCGCTCTCATTTTCAAATTCACACTAAGTTACTTTGGAGTCTCAATTCTTCTCACGTTTTCCCTTTACTAAATCTATCGGTGACTCCCAGAATGGTATTCGTAAGACTTCAAAAAATCAGAAAGTTTCCTTAAGGCAAAATGTTCCGACGCTAGTACAATTTATAGCCACCACGTGGCAGCACCAAAATAAGTAAAATTTACTTTACCGATAACGTCTGAGCCAATAGTCCGATTTTCGATCTGTAAACGGCATTTGACGCCTTTTTAAAATAGAATTTACGCTACGATGACCTTTTCCCAAAAATCTAACAAAAACGCGAATTTGAAATTAGTTCTCCAACTTTAGAGAACAATCGGACGAACAGGAGCGTCGTAAAGTGAAATTTACGAAAACACCTCGCCCCCCCCCCCTTCCTCTTCTGCGCCGTTGCGTCACCCACCCGCCCGTTGTGGGCCCTTTGTCAGCGCGGTGGCACGGCCAGGGCCGGCGGTTAAAGCGGTGCTACGTATAAGATTAATTTTTAGTTCTGCAAATAATTCAGCAATTAAAAAATAACAGTATCCTTTTTCAGCTTTATGGATACTGGCCAGCTATGACGCAGTTATACTCGTATTAACAAATAACCCTGATGATCATCTTCTCTACTCCAAGGATGGGTTCATGACCTGTTCTGGCTTCTACCAATTTCATTTCTATAGCGATCTGCCTCTGTGTCTTTTACCTCGCGTTCTACACATAAACGCTTGCTTTAGAATGCGTGTCTGCCCCATGTATCAAAGTCATTCCTCCCTTCACTTCCTGA